GGTAGGCAGAGAGAGAGAGAGAGAGAGAGAGAGAGAGAGAGAGAGAGAGAGAGAGAGAGATTTGTAGAATTTATTTCATAGAGAGCTTCGAATTCTCTAAAAAAACTTTCCCTTGTTTTTAATCTTTATAACTAAAAATTTTTGCTTGAAAAAAGATCAAACTCAAATTGATAAAAGAAATTTATTTTTGCAATTAAACCCTGTGCCTCTCTTCCAAACTCGATTATTTCGTATATTAAAAAGCAGGCTATCAAACAGGTCATTGCTTAAGTTTCATTATATGCGTGCGTCTTTCAAGCGCGACGATATCTGCATTGCGATTATCGGCTGCACGATTCATTATACGTGAAATTATCAAATTCATCTAGCACGGTAACAATTACATTCGGTCTGTCTGAGATATCAGACGGCTAAGATTAAGAGCTAGCGCCACCACCACATGGCTATATTCCTAAATGTGCAACAGTGACTGACGACGCATAGATGTACTCATTGCACTGACGGACGTGCGCAATGTACCTGGCTTTGTAAACGACCACCGAGGTTTGTCGCGGCTCATGAATCGTGCGATTCGCAATAGTCAGCGGATCTTGCCCGCTTCCTCCTCGGTGACAAGTTTATATCGGAACATTCGGCTGATGTTCCTGGCAAAGTTATTAAAGCGATATTTTAAGAATGCGCGCACGAAATACGGTATAATTGCTACGTTGAATCGATGAAGAAGCGGCTGTAACATCGCAGTTATAGTCGGTAATCCGGGCTGCGGTTAAATTCGAGATGGAAATTTAAAACATAGATGCGCGAATTTTGGAACATATCTTATCGTATTTCCGATAACGGTGAAACCTCAAATACGAAAGCTTGATATGCAGGTTATAATAATGTAGCTGCCTTTTAGTATATTCTACTATAGTACAGTCTGCTATAACCACCTAATTTAGGAGTTCCGGGATTGCCGTATTTAATTGGAAAATCTCGAAATTTCGAATTTCCAGGAAAGTAGAACCGCTCCGACATACAGAATGCTAGAATAGTAGTTGAGTTCGATCGAGAACTGCTCGTCGAGAATTGAAGTTTGAACGTAACCACGAGGGCATCTAAAATTACGAAACAACACACAGTGAAGGACTGCGCGCAAGCACAACCCGCTAATAATTCGGTATCGACACCAGATTCTCGGTCGTATTTTCGGGAAACTAGATCCGACACAAAGCGCTGAACGTTGTCTCGTGCACAATTAAGTAGATGAATATGACATGGGTTGATATCGATTCTGTTAGGTGAGAAATACTTGAGTACATATTAAATTCTGGACTGTAGCGGCGCGATGATGCACGGACCGTACTATGAACTGTTGCTAACTTACTTCGTATCATCACGCGTAGTTCCGTAAGTATACTATCTCGTCTTGAAAATTTTCTTTGAAGTAGTAATTGGCTTGCTTGTTAATGGCCTCTTAGAAGTTTCTAAGCTTGACGAGCGGACCGTCTATAAAGGTGAGCTTAATGAAAGGAATTTTGTTACATATTGTACAAACAATCTTGTCACTCTTGCAGTAACGTTTGCCTTACTATGATAATGAATTTCACCGCGGAGTATCTCGCGAAGCCCGATAACGAGACGGCGAAAAATATAATTAACGCGCCCAGACAATTCTCGCACACTTCTCGCCGAAATTGCAACGGTTCCGTACGGTCTATCGCGAAATAGTGAATCCTGATTTCTTTTCCTCGACATTCTGCGAGTACACGAGTCCCGGCAAAATAGTATATGGTTGCGACCGCGTGAATATGCTTTCTTTCGAACGAGCGCGTCTCTGCAGCTTCGGCAATTCTCGTTTCATCGCCGTCGAAGTAAAAGTGTTTTTGTTTCGCATGTCGAAATTTTCCACTCTTGCGCGGCAATACGCCCGCTCGCCGTCTGTTCAATGCGAACCTGTTTTTCCTCTACAAATCGATCCGTGTGTGATGTAGCATTCCACTACTCACGAAATATACGAACGTCGACGTTCACGTCGGCAAAAATGTCATATGTATGATCATTATCGAGCACACAATTAGGACGTTATTGCCGCTGGAATCGCTTCCCATCAGAACTTGAAACGAATTTGCCCGTTCGCTCGCGCATCTCAAATCTTCCTGGATATTACATCATCGCGCCGAAATCGCGCGATTGATCCAGTCTCCCGAGATGACTTACGACAAGTATTATCCCGTGAATATAACGTCGCGCTTCAGATTTTATCGTATATGTATGGCGGTCGCGTTTTTCCTTTTCTTTTGGAAATCAGGCGGCCTGCCCCCAAGAACATTGCGCTTAGTCCTCGCTTGACCCGCTTACGTTAACTCGCGCCATTCACTGCCGAGTTCCTGCCGAGTACTTTGCAAACTTCGGCGTTTACGTAGGTGGGCTATAAGTATAAGTACTAGTAAGTAAGTAAGTAAGTATGTATGTATGTACCGCGCCGGTTACGTAGTAGCGTTCACGCGATGGCGTGATACTTAAGTTGAGGACGTTCCATGTTACAGATTTACCCAGGTTCGGCAAACCGTTGAACAACCTTACAGTCTCGGTGGGTCGCGAAGCCGTTTTCACCTGCATCGTCGAGGATCTCGGACCATACAAGGTGAGACGCGCCCCATTATAACCCCTCGACAATCCTATTTCCACGCGCGGTTGCAGCTATACGTTGCGCCCTGCTGCCGTTGCAATTGCACGCCGCGTTGCGCGCGCTGATGTCTCCCCGTGCGATCGAGAGACCGGTCTTGATAAGCGATATTGCACCGTGTAAATATTCGTTGGATAGCTCGCGAGGCGAGCTGTGAAACGATACCGCCCGTGGAATTTTCGGACGATGCTTTCCTCCTCGCGATTCTCACGGCGAAAATGGCCGACGGAATTACCGCACGTGGAAAGCGAAGAATCTCGGCAAATTGAGCGATTTGCAGAAGCGACGAGCAGACAGTGAGCCATTTTATAACGAATTCCAAGGAGGATTCAGCCGAGCGGAATATTTTACGCAAAGTTTTGCTGTAAAGTGTTTTCTGATAGAATTATTTAAGTACTTTTAATTCATCGAATACGAATGAAGGGAACAGAGAGTGCTTTTGATCGGAAATGCTTAATTCGTGACGTAATTAATGTACATTTCACATTAATGATTTTCATTATTTCGGTGATTGTAAATACGAGATGAGATTTAGCCAGTTAAATTCTGAACAAAAAGGAAGATCGTGTTATATAGCGTGCATCAAGCGCAAGAGAGGACATCGATTCCAACAGATGACGAAATCACGCTGATTATTCCCATGCCGTGAGGAATGTAACGATACTGTGATTTGCGAATTACAAAATCGGCGTTTTGAGTGAGCGCGGCTAGATGTCATTACGCACGGAAGAAAAAGATTTGGTTGAATTAACTAAATATCTAGTCGAATATGAACAATCTAGAAATTCCGATTGAAGTAACCCGAATTCTGTTTAAGTTAACAAGATTTTTGGTAGACTAACCAAACATGTCTGATTACTAGACATGTCTGATTAAATAACCAGACATATTTGGTTAGTCTACCAAAAATCTTGTTAACTTAAACAGAATTCGGGTTACTTCAATCGGAATTTCTGGATCGTTCATATTCGACTAGATATTTGGTTAATTCAACCAAATCTTTTTTCTCCGTGCGAGGACCGCGTCGGCCAAATTGCCGTCGGTGACGCGAAAAGTTAATGAACGGTACAAATAAATTCAAAGCAAAGGATTCGACTAGGATCACAGTGCGTATCTGGGCAACTCCATTTAAGTAGAAATAAAATCCCGCGGGGTGTGAGTTCAGCAGTTTGTTAAGCGGCTCCGGCTCCTCTCTCGCGCCCGTCTTCTTTCGCCCGATCGTTTCTCCGTCGTGTCCGTCTATCTCGCTTCCCTCGTTTTCTCCTTATTTCCCGTTCTCCTCTCAACGTCCTCGGCTGCTCGGGCGCCTCTTCTGGAGAAATACCCTTTTCGATTCTCCAGCCCTCTTACCGAGCCCTGCGCCGCGCTTAAACCGCGCGTATAGGAGTTATAGTTTTATAGATAGCGCTCCTTTCTGCTCTCTCCCCTGCTCTCCTCCGCCACGAGCGTGGAAATGTTTTGGCGATAAAAATGCGCAGGATTGTTTTATGGCGGTGCGCCGGTACGTGTGCCTTCTTGCATGCGTATGTGTGTGTGTGTGTGTACAAGCTCACGCGCACGTGTGTTCGAACGGAATCGATGCATTATCCTTACGCGGCTGGTCAACGGCACCTCTGCGGAAATGAAAACGCCGAGTCACGGCGATACTCGCGAAAAGCGTTTGGCGCAAATAATAAAAAGCCGCGTACCACTTTGCTCGAATACAGGATACAAAGGGGCGAGAAAGCGCGCTTTCGATAATCGATGCCGGCGACGGTCACCGCGGAATTAACGCTTTTTAGCGTAGCCCGCTTTAACACATGGCAGCCGCACACGGCGCGGCTATAACCGCGTGATTGGCTCTTTGCGCCGCCGGTATTGCGATTCTTTCGTATCACTAATTATAAGTTATTAATTTCCTTTGATAGGAACGCGAGCGCGCACGGGACCACAAGTGGAGCGCGAATTCGTAGTTTTACCGTTACATCTCTGATAGACATAAGTATACTTTCAAACGGTAACGATGCGAAGAGGACTTACGTTTAAAGCGACGTTGCCGCTGACATCGTGCAGTTTATTTATATTTCAACTTGTGCTACATGAGTAATGGCACATTTTATATATAGCGACCTGAGAAGAGAGAGAGAGAGAGAGGGAAAACACCACGGATACTCTCGGGTGCTCCGGAATGATAAAGCGTCTTATTACAACTCGCAAGGTATTACCGTGCTGTGTACTACGCGATGAGGGCACCAATTTTGCTAATTAGCGACAAACATATCACTTACATTAGACATCTATCTCTGATTGCGCCCTCTTTCTTGATATTATTGTTTCGGCAATTGCTCGTTACGCGTTGATCGCATTTCCGATACTAGATGTCGCGAAAACAAGTTTACTAGCTAGATGTGAAATTGGTTTAATTCTTGTCAATATAACGAAACAGCTTGTTCAAATAAACAGGCAAAATATATAGATATATATAGAAAAAATGAATAGTTGAAATGTTTACGATAACTTTTGGACATCGCGTTCAAATAATGTCAGATATATAGTATATTGATTAACAATATAAAAGTAAATATTGTGATATAAGATATGGAGGGATATATAATTATATTAATATGAAATAAGGATATATTCGGATAATAAGAATATATAAGGATTATTCGCGAAGAAAGCAATTAGAGCAAATAAACGTCATAAATTTAAGACTCCTCGTAATTATCTCAAATTTAATTATTCCTCGTCATTATGTCTTTAATATATTAGATCAAGTGTAGTAATTGAGATCTTTAAGTAAGCCGATCCGATCCGAAAGAAAAAATTCAAAAAATTTGTCGTTCCTTAACGATTTATTATTACCACAATTTTAGCGGAATTGTCGCGGAGATATTATGAAAATGCGTATATGTCGCATGGCTCTTATTATAATTAAGAAACTGCCGGAAACTTTTTGCTTGATATTTCAGCGCTAATCATGCAGCCTGTCGGTGATCCATTATATTAAATTTAGCTGTGACTTACTATGCAAACTTACAACGCTGCGCAAGTTGCCGAGTAACCTAATTTTTTTTTTTTAAATTCACCGTCGAGCGAACGAGCAAGCAATACGAATTTCACACGAGAAGCTACTTTTCCAAGTAAAATTATTTTAAATATTTTGAACGTCTCAATATTTTATCGAAAAGTTTCGTTACGTGTCGAAGCACTTATTTCTGAAATGGTACTATAATAAACGAAAGCTTATTGTAAATTCGTGATCACCGTTTTGAATAGTCATGGATTAGAGAATACGAATTGGAAAATTTGAATTTTGCGCAGCGAAATCGATTAGATGCAGATGCAGATTTTTGTAAAGTTGTGTGTTGTAAAGTTTTATAATCTAATATAATATAATAATATTATATAATATTATATAATATAATAATATTACAGCTTATAATATTATAATAATAATATTATATAATAATAATATTATATAATATTATAGCTGCGAGCTATAATATCCGGTAAACCTTACTCTGCCGGAAGAATTAGGCCGAAATGTTAATATTATATAATCTATTATAAACAAAATCGTCGTAAATTATTAGAAGATAAACTCAATTATTTCGCGAAAAATAACTAAGTGTGCTTCCCTCATCACATTTCGGCCTAATTCTTCCGGCAGAGTAAGGTTTACCCGCGTGCTCGCAGCTATAATATTTTCATTGCCACGGCGCCTTTTATGAAGTGCGGAAATAAGCCGAGTACTTCAGGAATAAAACGATTTATGTATTATCTCCACTCCGCGGCAAATTTTAAAATTTCATTAAAGGGCCGAAATTGCTTCCTGCGGAAGTGGGAGCGGTAAGGAAAGGAAAGGAGCCACCCCAATGTCACCACCGCCAAGTATTTTTACGGTCCTAAACCTAATTGAAGCTGGGTCCTTGAAACTTGTCGAGTTTCGCAGGGATTAGCGCTCGGAGAATTTTTTCCCGTTTAAATAGTCATGAGTTCCAATATTTTGTCGGTGGGAGTCTTTTACCTCTGCCCTCAGTTCTATAAGCGCGGGCGGTGTAATATATTATATATGTTGACGCAATATATTATGCACAGAGTGCATCTTAAACGAAATGTTCGCAAACTGAAAACTATTTGCTCGTTTCGGGTTCCATCCGAGGCAAATTGTGTTAATGTTAATCGACTCTTGTACGCAACGACACGAAGTTATCATTAAAATTTTTGCGGCGTTAAATCTCCGATAAGTAGATTCATTCGGGTAAATAAATCAGTGAATTTATTATTCACACAAGCATATTAATCACACAAGCATATTATAAATGTAACGTCGCATCATGTATACGTTTTCTACACTTGCCGTGTTTGACACATATTTTCCGCGATAGCCCATAATTGCCCGATTGCATAACTTTTACCTCAAGTGCCGCGCTTGTATCTATTGGCGAAACGTCCGTATGTTATATTGTGTGTGTTTGCAACTGCCCCATCAGATTACGAGTTTGATCTCGCAAGAGCCAACCGAGGCTGCCAAATGGTTATACACCGTCATGTGCCATCTATTGCTACGCTACGAGCGAAACGTAATCTCATTTTCCAGACAAAACTTTATTTGCTCCAAAATGGAGTGTCAAAAATAAGCAGAATTCGTCATTCATTGCACGTTTCTTTTGCATTGTGTACTGTCAAAACACATTATCAAAGTGATATTGCAAACATCTACAAACCTATAGCAATAAAAATGTGCGATTAATACTACAATGCTAAGCAAATATACGAATAAATCGTAAAATCGTGAAGCTTACGTATCAATCGTCTATTCATAAGTTCTTACGAGTCTTACGAGAACAAGTTAGAAGCTTTACGATTTTGTCTAGAATTGCAGTATAAACTTGTGTAGCGACAGTTGACACTGAAATGTTTGTGAAAATTTATCTTCGTAATAACAGAAAAAAAAGCACAACATGTTCCTTTAT